TGGGTTTAATTTATTCAAAATTTCGCACACGCACATGCACACGCACACGCATACGATATGCACACACACACACACATACACACACACACGCACGCACACGCACATGCACACGCACGCGCACACGCACACACACACACACACACACACACACACACACATACACTCACACACACACACACACACACACACACACACACACACACACACACACACACACACACACACACACACACACACACACACGCCCACGCACTTGCCCACACGCACATGCCCACGCGCACGCACGCACACACACACACGCACACACACAAACACACACTTCCAGACAATTATTTTCCACAAATATATGCATTTGTCACACAGAAAAATTTTAAACTTCCTTCGAGCAAAATGCAAAGCATGTAGGTCTACAGTATGTAGGTCTACAGTACCCTATACTTCCTCCGTTGCTGTTAGACAACACAGATATGATTATTTTTATTTCATTGCGATACAAAAAATGGTCAAAAAGACTACAAAATTGCTGTTAGTTGTATCTTCATTTGAAGAGTTTTTCATTTGAAGAGTTTTCGTTTTGGCCTAATATTTCTACCACCAAACATTGCTAAACCTTGAATATTTTTTATCACGTTTAACACGAAGAAATAGATAAATAGATAAAATAATAATAAAAAAAAAACAGAAAAACGCTAATCCTCAAATAACTCTAAGTTCGCATTTACCTGGCTGGATTCCCCTTCCTAAGTGGTGATCCCTTACTTGGCTTAGCAGGGGATGAAGCTAGATGGCAGCCCCCCCCCCCCCCCCCCGCCCAGGAGGCACTGCGTCCTCCACGATGATCTGGTAGAACTGGATGACGACGTTGGTGTACGCTGATACCGATCATATACTAAGGCGTGGCGTGGAGGCCAGCAGTCAGCTTCCCACAGGTCGGAAGACGGTCGGCCCTGACAACCCTAGAGGCCGGAAAGGGTGGCAAAAAAACAGAGGCCGACTACAGGTCCGATGGCAGGCAGCTCCTCACTCTCCGCCGTCCTAGCGCGAAGGTTGAGGCCCGCTGCGAGACGTCTCCCCGCAGTCGAAGCAGTTGGCATTATGGTAACTCACTGTGCATAGGTGGTCAGGGCTGGCATGGATCGGTGTTAGTCGGTGGAGGCACCGGACGACTCAGTGGTGGTGCCTTCTTCATCGGTGGTTCTTTGGGAGAGGTGTTGCTGCTTGGGCTACCGTGAGAAATCTCCTTAGACCACGTTCCAGCTTGGTTCCTCCTTTGAACTACGGGAATCCCCTCCCCCTATCCTAATTTCAGCTGCAGTCCAGCTCGGTCCCTAGCCATGGTACAGCCTGGGCGAGTGGGTCCCCTTTCCTAAACTCTGGTCTAGTCTGGCCTTTAAAAGTAATAAAGCCAAATGACTTTCTGGCGAATTTCGTATGTTTCTCTGGCCTCTCTCCTTCATTGTTCTATTTTTATATGCTCGTGTATAAACCAGTGCTCTACTATTTTTATTTTTAATGGGCTTGTGTGATTGATAACTACCTAAATCTGTGAATACATATAGTCAATTCCTTTTGACATTTGCATGAGCCTACACAGCTGCATGTGCGAAAGTGGATTTTGATGTTTGTTGCATATTAAGTAGAAACAGGGAAATCGACTTGCAGTGAAAACTGATATACTTTGTACATTGTCAAGACCCACTCGTTGAACAGCTTCTCGGTGAAAAGAAAATCGAAGAGTCTGGTTGCAAGGAAATATGAATTAATTAAATTTGAAAGGACATTTTACTTGTAAACCCTTACATGATTTAAATAGTTTGTTTACCACAGGTTTCAGGGTAAAATGATTAAAGTGACATAATAGGCAGCACTGAAAAATGGGTGATATTCGTTTCATTTTTTACGTGATTTACATTTAACTTTAAACTCGTAAAAGACAATTTACGAAAATTATTATTATACTGCACGTGCTTCTTTAATGTAGCAAAAGACAGACAGACCAATAAACACTCGAAGTACAGACTTACAGCCAGAGCAAGACATTCGAACTCGTAGAAATTTTGATCCACTGAATAAAACTCCACAAAAATTGGAGCATAACCTTATGTATGATAATAATGATACTGATAATAGCAACAGCATCAATAATATTAATGATAACAATGATAATGATAATCATCATTATCATTATTATTATTATAATTATCATCATTATTATAGTTGTTGTTGTTTTCATAATTATTATAGTAACAGAAATAATCGTATCATGATTTTTTTCTAGAACCAGACTATCTTCAAAGTCATCAGATAGCAAGAGATTTTTATCGATGTCTCTTAATGAAAAATAGCAGGGATACTCACAGTATGAATGTACTATTTCGATTATAATTATTACCATGCCTGTCACTGCCATTGTTACTGCTATTATCATTGTCATAGTTATTGTATTCATATATTATAATTATCATTATTGATTATTATTATTATCGTTATTATAATTATCTATATGACTAATAACTTTAACAATAAGGATATAGCATGGTAGGAATGTGGAATTCAGTCAAGTAACTTATGCAATTGCAGTAAAATAATTGATTTTAGGACAATCAAGTTTTATCCCATAATTCCAATATATGATGTGGCATCAGGTGTAAACCAATCAGATCTCAATTGTCATTTTAATCATACTATTTCTTATACATGCAAATAAGCCGTAGTGACATGGGATGCTCCGTGTTTGCGACGGTCGGTCCAGGGTGGAATCCTTGTATGTTACGCGGGAGATCTCCGGCGTGGACTTGTCTCAAGCCTTGGCGTGATAAATTACCGATGCTATTGATGATTTCATTGATGTCTTGCAATTACCATTTCGTGTTTTTTTTTCTGACAAGTTTGATCTTAAAATAACAATGAGGCATATTCAATAATCGGAGATTTTCATGAATTAATATGGAAGTGCTCTGCTGATGACTCTCCTAGTGATTAGATGCGTCGATTAAACCTTGGCGTGCGATTTTGTGCAAATTCAAGATGTTTTATATTCTTGGCGTAGATCCCCTTATCATTTTTTTCAAATCTCCGGCGTACTTAATACATAGATTCCACCCTGGCGGTCAGTACGACACTGGGCGTCTTCTGCACGCGCCATAAAAGTTAAACCAGTATTAAAGCACCTCCGGACTAGGCTTAACTTTTGAGCTCAAAGGTTAATCCTGCATATACGCAAAACGAGTTAATTAATCCCACCAGTCATGTATTGATCCGTCATGACAATGTTATTAGCTCAATAGGAAAGAGTTAAGTTGCCATTAATATTTATAATAAGCAATAACGAAACAAATAATGAAATTTTGTGAAAATTCATCAATATATATTTTTGTGGGTTTGTCAAACTGCAGATACAACTCTCAACACTGAAAAGAAAAACGAAAAGAATATTCCACAGAGAATTCCAGAGTTTACAGACACAGAGAGGGCAATGTTATTTCCAGGTTGGAACGAATATAAATTGATATTATAAGTATTTCATTTTCGTTTGACACCATCCTTTCGATCGTCTATAGTATTTATGGGCTATTTGAAGCCATTTTATTTATATTGACACAGATATATATCGACAGGAAATAATACTTGCGTGTATGTATATATATACATATATCTTTTCATCTGTAGCAAAAGTTTCGTTATTAACATTAGCGTATGATATTGTAGTGGGTGAATGGTAATTGCCATTACACAGATATCTGCTTTTTCATGTAAAACAGCAGATTTACTGATAATCAGATTGACTCGTGCTCCTGAGAGTGTGTCTTGCATCTTTTGTGCAAATATAGAGGACTTGGATTAACTTTAATCCGGAATTAACTTGTATGACCCATTGAGAAGACGCCTTTTGATTCGAGGGTATTTCGTACGCCCGACAGCGCCGATGTTCCGCCCACAAGACTTGAAACACGTGGCGCTGCAGGTAAGGTCATTATATAATTTTTAAAAATTCAGCACATAATTTCAAAATTTAATTTCATAGCAGAATCATAGATAAGCATTCATGTAATTCCAGGAAAATCTTTCGGATCAAAATACTAGTTCCTCGAAATTCTGTTTTGAAGAAATACATTTCAAACTAAAATGTTTGTTGTGTATGCTTACCTTATCCATACTCAAAAGATGAAAGGTCCACAATATTCTTTTAGATGGACTGGTGATCCATGGCCTGAATTGAGTTGAGAACCACTGACCTAAGACAGAAGGCTACACAAAACAGGTAGGTATGATATGGTGAATACACTGAAATGCCGTAGATACACTTTCCTAGTCAGTTACCTGTGTAGTAATTACTTTGTAATCATTATTATCGAAAACTTCCCACTTCATGAATTGACTTATAAAAAAATGATTAAATAAAAGTGAGTGTGTGCGCGAGCATGACTTCTCCTTTTAGTCACGGGGCTAGACTTTCAAGTAAACACCGTGGTATTCAACATTATAGGGATAGGGGTCTCCTCTCGCCACACTTACCTTCCGTCTCCAAGAAACGTTGAATCTACAATTGAGTTCATTCTCCTGCCAGTCACCGTGGCCACGTTGCGCACACACACACACACACAGAAAGTTTATGATTATATATATATATATATATATATATATATATATATATATATATATATATATATATATATAGTTAGAGATAGAGAGAGAGAGAGAGAAAATCTAGGGGAAGGGATAGGACTAGTAAAAAATATATATATAATAGAAATTCAAATATAATAAAATCGAAAATAATGAGTACCAGAGAGAGAGAAAGAAAGGGGGGTGGAGGGGCAAGAAACGGGTGTTTTTTTACCTTCCATAAATATCCAAGTATCTCTCTCAGAAGTGATAATGTCCACAGAATAACAATGACAATAAAAAAAAAATCAAGTAAGAGTGCACTGAATCTCTATCACAAACACCTCCCACACAAACGCCTCCCAACTGAGTGTGTATTGTACCGGGAAAAGAAA